GTGCAGGTACGCGTCAGCTCCTTTCGCAGCGCAGCTATGGCGGACTTCTTCTTCAAAGATGGCGCACTTGAGCTATGGCCCCCACACGTCCCTCTCCTGCTACAACGGCAATGCGCATGGAGTAGCGGGTACCAGCTCCGATACCAGTGCAATCAGACTCGCATACTTCATCACTTCACATGCATACAAACAATTGGTGAATCACACTGGCGCATAGCGCCCAACTCAAAGCTCGAAGATATGGAAACCAAGACACAGTTCAGGTGTAAGCTTGCTTCCACAGGCTATGGTGCATCAGCACCCACACATCGCAACTCTTGTCTCTGTGTCCAACACCACGGTTCACTTCACACTTCAACTCCGGATCACCCTGGATACCCCACGCACACACTCTGCACACACACGAACGTACACCTACTACTAACTATCACAGCTATGGCTGCCAGTTAACTCTACTCTACAAACAGTTATGGTTGCGCTAACTCCCTCTAGCCCACTTCGACTTCAGGCTCCTCTGCAGACCACCTCGCACAAGTCACCGTGGCAGCGCTTCCGCATGGCTTCCGCAGGAATGAATGAATGGCTGGGCGCTGCCTCTTGATTTATACTTCTGTAACTCGTTGGTCTTTCCCTTTCCATCGGCCCATGGTACACACAATCCCCCATTGTACTTGCTGAACTGGACTGGGACTGACTGGACCGTGTCGCTGGCTGCCTGGGGACGCACTGCTAACCTACCGCTATCGTACTTTGAACGTACTGCAGTTGGTCCACCACTTGCCCAGTTGCCCACTTGCCTCAGTCTAAAACGTGAGCAAGCTGCGAAAGGCCACTTCCGCACCTTCCGGAAGTCTGTGGTCTTGGCCTTTCGGGATTGTAGCAGCTACGACTTTGACCTCTCAGGATTGTAGCAGCTACGACTTTGACCCTTCAGGACATCTACAACTACGACTTCTGGAACTCTCTAAGACCTCTACTCGACAGGTCTACAGATCGAATCCCTATGTCTACACAGTCCTACGACAAACAAACAACAACTCACGAAACACAGGTCACGGGTTCAAACACTTCAAGGGTCAACTCGATACTGTACATAGGTGAGGTAAGGTCTGGGGATCAAACCCCGGGATCTGCATCTGCCTCTGCAATGGTGAAAACCGTTTCAAAAATAAAAAGAGAATTAAAATGAGTGAGTGTGCCAGCACCTTTTCGATACCGCCATGTTTGCCGATTTTTAATTATTTTTTGGCATTGACAAATGCCCTGAAAATTTACAGATATGTAGTTTACATAATCAATAACTCATTAAAAAGTTTTCAAAAAATAATAAATTTTTGTAGGCCCCGAAATAAAGTGAAAACAAAAAGTTAAAAGTGAAAAAAAACAAAATAGTGAGTGGGCGAGCACGTTTTGACACCCCCATCTTTGACAATTTTTTATGTTTTGTTTGGCTTAGCAGAATGACTTCAAAATTTATAGGCGTGTAGGTTACATCATAGAGAACTCGCAAAAAAAGTTTCAGAAAAAAAAACTTATTTTTAGTCCCCGAAAGTTTTTTTGGCGGGGGCCGAACGTGGAGGTGTTCGGCCCCCGAACGGGACCCCGAACGCCCGAACGTTCGGGGGCCAGCCCGGGGGCCCCCGAACGTTCAATCAGGTACGCCTCCTGATGAGTCGGTGTAACTCCGACGAAACAGTTTGCCACAGCCTCTCGTTTGTTGTCCTTTTCTCCCTCTCTACCTACGGTTTGCCGTGCAACTCTGTTTGACTATAACCCTATACCCTATACCCTATACCCTATACCCTATATCGTCAAACAGAGCTGCCCGGTAAACAAACGAGGGGCTGTGACAAACTGTTTGGTCGGAGTTTCACCAATATATATTTATATTTATATTTATATTTGTTGTCCTCTTCTCCCTCTCTGCCTACGGTTTACTGGGCAGTTCTGTTTGACGTATATATTTGCGTAGCACGACGAACGTGTTCGCGGCTCTTTCTGTTCGGGCGAACACGTTCTCCCGTTCGCGCGAGCGGGTCGAGAACACGTTCTCCCGTTCGCGCGAACGGGTCGAGAACACGTTCACGAGAACGTATTTTCGAGGCCCGCGAACGGGGTTCCCCTGGGCCGGTACCGGTTGCCGGCGGGGCTTTGGAGGGGCCTGGGGAACCGCAGTGTGTGTGTGTGTGTGTGTGTGTGTATGTGTGTGTGTGTGTGTGTGTGTGTGTGTGTGCGCGCACCCCAGCGTTGTCACGCGGGGATCCCCGGGGCCCAAGCCGGGGTAGGGGTTTCAACCCCGGACCCCCGCCGCGGGGCTACCCGACCCCCGCCCCCGCAAAATCAACCCCGGCCCTGCCCCAACCCCGC